TACCGAAAATCAACCTCTACACAATGAAATAGGCATGATAGTGAAAAACCACCCATCTCCTACTCCACCACCACCCTCCGATCCCAACCCACTAGAACCCCCCGGCCACCCCAATAGACGACAAATATGTCCACTCCACAAAACAACCCCCCTCATATCTCTAGAATCACCTACTCATCAATCCATTCCATTTTTGTCTCCTGAAACACAATACATCCACCATCACAAACCTTAGAAGAGAACGAATCAAAACCCTCTTCCCTCTTGTCATTCAAACAACGGATGTTCTAGGAAAAAAATTTAACTGCATGGCAACAGTAATTGATCACCACGACCTTTCCTCATAGCCCAACCTCATCCTTTTAGGCGTTTGGCATAATTGACTGTGCACTCTAGATTTCTCAGTTCCTAACCCCTTTCCCCTTCTGACCCACAACCTGAACCTCCTTACCCAAAGAGCCACTCCCTCTCCAAGAAGCTTCAATTGTAGAAAACAACTTCATGCCTTCTTCCTCATACACTTCAAACGATACACCAAGCATCGCACAGAACCAACCAACTTCATAACCACAAACAGCTCTACGAAGGCCCTGCCCTCGCTCCATAATAGCAACGCGACGATGCCCAAACTGATCTTTTGCCTCCTTCGTAAGCTCAAAAGAACGACCTCCTAGGAAAAGAATCCTCCATCAAGGGCCCTCTTGTTTCCCAAAGAGCATTCTATTAATCTCGGAGCATTACATTCTTGCCCGAAGTGGAAAATGTTTGAATTCAAAATGGCACCTTTAGATAAGGGTAATTATTGTTTTCCACTATCAAAAAAACAAAGATGGCTGCAAGATTATTATGATGATGATCACAAAACGAGTTGTTTACTCATTAATCTAAATATTTTACCTGTTCTAGATATTTGTCAGTGTTTTTATCATTTTCAGCAAAATCAACTCGCAATTGACAGCCATTGATCTCCAAGTTATGGCACCACAATCACACAAGTCATTTACAGAAAAGCATGGTGCTCTCTAACGTAAAGGACCTGACATGCCCATGTTCATACTAAGCATGATCTATAGTGCGCTGGAGGCCTGAAACTTTTTGGCATCTAGACAAAGACTTTCTTGTGGAAAATGCTTAGATGTATATCAGTATAGCAAAATCAAGAAAAAATAGGGTGGACAGAGGAGCAGAACTTCCATAGTAAAGCTATGATGAAGCATAAGTAATTCAAGTTAGCACAGGCCTTTCAAAACAAAAGCATCATGGATCAAGAGTAGAAATTAAATAAAGTTGTTTATGTGAACAAGGCTACCTGTTGGCAATTTTTTTTAGTCCAACAGTGATGGCCTAAACAATAGAAAAGAAAACCCAAACCCCCCACCCCCAACCCCCCCCCCCACACACACACACCAACAAAAAAAAAAAAAAACAGCATGCAACCCAGATGAAGGAATCCCAAGTCTCTATTATGAATACCACGAGACTTTACTAGCTAAGCTATCTAGCACCTTCCTTGTGAGAATTTTTCCTGTAATTGTAGTACAAAACCCTTGAATGTTGTTACACCTAAGCTACTAACCATTTGTTGCCAATAAGAGTTCATGGAAGGCATGATGGGACTGAGCTTTGGAAGGATGCAAATTTGAGTATAAGAGTATGGGAGTGTGACTTTAATACGTTTCTGCAACCTACAGTCCCAGTGTAGGGGTGTTCTTGATGGCTAAAAATCTGAACTCAAAAACTATTTTCCCTTTGAAAAATTTATTGCAGCCAACTTTGTTGTTTTGGCAGGTGAGCGAAACATAAGAGGAGACTTGATGTGCCCAAAAGGAATGCAAAGATGACAAGGAAGCAGCTCGGGGATTTCAATGGCTGGTGTTCACCTAGTTGCTTAGGGCCAAAGTCTATGGAGATAAGACACATCAGACCACACCTTCAATGGCATTATTGTTCTTTAGTAGCTTGCATCAACCGAACTGCTGCTAGAGAATCAGTAAGAGGTCATCATGTAAAGGAACATAGTGGTGGACAACATGTTCACACAGAAGTCAACATAGAGATTGCCCTATTACGGAAGATAATAAAGGAACATTTGAGGCTTCAACTAAACATGTAGGATGACCTATATTGTAACTTTTGAAAGAATGAAAATGCATTACAACTACAAGAACTTGCTAGATATTGAAGAATGAAAGAGAAGTCATGTTGCTTTGTCAGTTAATGAAAAATTACATCAGAGGACAGATTGAAAATGTGATGTTCCGGGATATTTAATCCAATTGGTTTCTAGATTGTTTCCGTCTAAATCCATTACTTTCAAACTTTTATTCAGTTTCAAGACCATGTAGACTGTGTGATGTTACTACACTACATAACTTCCTTGTTTAAACTCCTAAGTTTTGTTCTGGGATAAAACCTAGAGTTTCAGACGTAAGGGCGGTACTGGGACGAGAGTGGGAAATCCTTTAGAACCTCTTTTGGACCACTAAACATTTCCGCACGTGCGCGGTTGGAACCGCACGTGCAGAAGAGGGGGACCGCATGAGCAGGGGTGAGGATCGCACGTGCGGGAAGAGTTGAAAGTTTGAGTTTGCTTCTGAAATAAAAGCACGTGTGGAGGTGGTGTTCCGCACGTGCAGAGAAGAGCTCCCCACGTGCGGTGAAGAGGTCTCGCACATGCGGAAATGATTGGGTCCCAACTCCGAATTTCGAGAAACTCACCTTTTGGACCCCTTTTCTCATCTTTTTCTCCCATTTCAACAATACCTCCCTCTCTCTAAAACCTTTTCTCATCTTTTCTTCTCCCTCTCTCTAACCCTCACCCAAAAATCTTCCCCTCTATCCTTGTTCTTGGAAAATCTATAGCTTTTTAGACCCTAGTGCTTGAGGCCAATTTGGAGAACATTTCAAGAGCTTCACTTTGTGCGGTAGAGATCAAATTTCAACACAGCCAATTTTAGGGCTTTTCTCTCATCTTTCTCCTAGAGCTTGAGGTAGGGAGTTTTTTTGAGTAATATATATGTTTTAGCAAATCTATTGCCATTTTGATGAAATAATTGTGTAGTTTGAGTTATGGTTTGGTTTGGAAGATTTTTTGTTTTCAAAAAGGGTTTTTCTCAAATGTTTTCTTCAATCCTTAAGAAAATAAGTATGTGATAGTTAAGAGCTCTATTTTTGTAAAAATCTTTCCAAAATGAGAAACCCTAATTTTTGTGAAAACCCTAGGTTTTGGAAATTTGTTAAAAAGTTGAGATTGTGTGGAATTATACATTGTTGAGATTCATTGTTGAGAAATGATGAAGAAATTGGCACGTTCATTCTCATTGTTGAAAACCCATGGAAAAGAGAGATTGATGTTGAGAAATTATGAGAATAGTATGTTGTTATACTTGTTTTGAGAAGATAAAGAATTGAAAGGATGATTATCTTATTGAAATTTTCGATTATATGAGAAAGAAAATACATATGATGATGTGTTGCTATTATCTCTTGGAACATATTGTGCATACATATATTGAGTAGAGATGTGGTATTTGATCACAATTGAGAAATGTGTTGTTGAGATTGGAAATTATTGAGGAAAATTGAACTTTGCAAAATGTTGATAAATTGTTTTGTCATCTCATCTCATTCTCATTGCTTTTCAAATTGGCATTGTCGAGGTTACACTTTGGAAAAGAAGTATTTGTGAAACAAACTTTCGTTTTGAGTTGTGTTAGGATAAATACGTTTGGTAAGTGCGGTTGGGGGGTGTAGAGTTGAGAACTAAGTTGGCTTGAGTTCTATGGTGAAAGTCCAAAAACTCATGCAGAGTAGGTACCAAGTTCCTTCCGGTTAAGAATCAGTAAAGTGGTTTTGGTGGTGCTTAAGAGCCTACTTACAGACACTAGCTTAGAAATTACTTCAATCGTATTTACCACCCCTTGATTATATAATGAAATCATTGAATTGATTATGTTTTCGAATGAGCATCTTGCATGAGATTTTCAAATGAGAAAAATTTACATTTTTGAGTATGACATGGCGTTTGCATCCATCTCACGATGAATGCTTAAAATGTATGTACTTTGACAAGATTTCCCTACTAGGCTTCATGCTCACCCCTAGTGGAACCGCTGGCAGGTAAAGATGCTGTGACCCCGCCGAAGTAGGGGCATAGGGGACTTTTGGAGCACAGGACTCAGTTACTTGTATTCTGTTTTTGACAAGCCAAGGGCTATATTTGTATGGATTTAATAACCATTCCATGTAACCTGACATAAGCCTTGGAACTTGTAGCCCATGGCGCATTATTTTGTACCTAGTTTACATAATTATTCTCATCACATGCTATAGATTCACATTCTAGAAAGTGTTGAATGTATAATTGTATGTGGAGCATTTTCTAAATCTCATGGGTATATTATGAAATACAAATGTGGAGATTTAGTCATTATGGATGCTATTGTTCTTGTTCATACGCGAACGATGGAAATCAATGGAAATTTAGAACACATGGATGAGTAATCTAGGTTTGTCAAATGTTAATTATTTAGGGGCGTTACAGAAAAATTGGTAAGAGTGGAAATGACACAAAATATCTTAAGTTAATTTTTTTTCTTTTTGAGAAACAAAAGCCACAAATAGATACAAACGAATTCCTACTAAAGCTTTATCAAATGTGAGACAAATGTGTTCATCCTGCTTACATTGAGTTGTTCAAATAATCACGATTCCAAACAATATAATCATTAAGTGCTAAACTTTGGCATAAATTTGCCGAAGTTTTTCTTGAGAGCCATAGAGTTGGTGCTACTACTACTGCAGCCAATCACGGGAACTATGTCAGGGAACAAAAGAAAAAAAGCGAGAAAAAAAAGAGGCCATGTTACTAACACCTGCCATACTTGACAGCCTAGAAATATTAAATAAATTTGCAGAAGTTTTTCTGAGACCCATATTTTATTTTTGAACACAGAAATATTAAATAAAATGCTCGAAAAGGGAGAGCCACCAGGCAATACCTTGGCAACTGCTGTGCCTGATCCCATGGCAATTCCTATGTCAGCTTTCTTTAGTGCAGGTGCATCATTTACTCCATCACCAGTCATTGCAACCTTACAATCATATAGTTTACAATTAATTTCTTGAGCAGGAAAAACACATTTCGAAAAGAAACTGGAAACGTAAATGCTTTGCACAAACAGTTGGTCAATATCTAAACAAATAGTGTAAGAAGAGTTGTGTCGCCAGTAAGTATTGCCGTTTATAAGGGCAAGCAATAGCTATGGAAAATTGGAGCAAGCGAGTTGATACTAAAAAACAGTTCCATAAGGATGACTATGAACCATCTTAAATCAGATAAGCAAGCCAAAACAAGATACCTATGAACACAATCATATTCAAGCAGGGCTTTCAAAGTTGACTAACTGATGAGCATAGACAAGGGCCCAGTAAACAACACCCAATTCATCCAACTAAAAGGGGCCTGAGCCAAAACAAGGCATGCTGAGCTCAATTCAACTCTTGATTTAAACAGAATACACATGCGTGCAGTTATGATTTGTTCTACTTTCTGAAAAATTACAAAGATAAGAAATCCAAACGCAGTGGAATAGGGACAGTTCTGGCTATGGTCACAACAACAAAAACAAAGAAACAAAGAAACAAAACTATGATTACCTACCCCACCCATCCACTCCAAGCAGAATGAAACTAGATGGAGAGACTTATAACCATTGGGTTAGCAGATGCAGAAAGGGTTTAGTAAGTGGACTCAATCTTAGAGTTTAGTCTAACAATGCAAACCTGACAAAACTAAACTCATAACACTTCTCACCCCCAAAAACCTAACTCACGAAGGACATATAAATGTATGCAAAACCAAAGTTAGGTTCAGCTACTACATGTACAATATGTCTTCATTGCACCACAGTATCCCCATCCGTCCTTTGAGCTGGGACTAACCCATGCACATGCATAGATCAGCACTAAAAAACTGCTTTACAATAGATCTGCTACAATATATCAGCATAACAGTATCATATGTACCTTGATGTAATCTTCATGAGATCCTAAATACTATACCAAGTAGAAGGATGATCAGCCACATTGTGACTAGATGAAAGCTAACTTACGGGGAGAGAGAGTAACCACAGTAGGTCAATTCACTAGTTTCAATAAATATAGCCATGAGAGCAAATATTGAAGTGGTGAGAGTGAGAGTGAGAGTGAGATTGAGATGACATAACACCATTTGGCTTTCTCAGAACATTCCAAGATGTGCTTTTATTTTATGGCTCCTATGCCAAGAAAGATTGGCCACTAAAGATAGGCTAAAGGAATGGGGGATGGCAGTTGAACCTAAATGTGGTCTGTAACATTCCAGAAGAATCTCAGAGCATTTATTTTTGGAATGCCCATTTACTTCCCTCATTTGGATAATGTGCTTCAGAAAAATGAGATCAGTAGATACCCTCAAAGCTGGAGTGAGGAGCTTTTTTGGACAGTCCAGTATTGTAAGAAGGATAATTTCCTAACTGCTGTTTTCAAGCTTTTAATGGCTGTTGCAGTCTACCATGAAAGGAAAGAAATAGAAGAATCTTCACCCAAAAAAGAAATGGACCTTTGATTATGAAAGCTATTGGGGAAGATGTGAGGTTTAGAATCAATACTTCGAGAACGGTTAAGAATAACTTTGCAAATTGGCAGACGTGTTAACAGTGGGATATTGCTGTACTGATACACTTTGATAAAAGTCGTTAGTGTACCATGATGTCAGTTTTTTTTTTTTTTTTTT